ACACTGACTGGACGTGGGAATACAGCAGACAGGGGAGACAGCAACTATGGAACAGACAGAAAACCAGAACACCTAAAACTCTAACCAAACCCCACCCAGAGAACCTTAACTAAGAATAATCCTAAAACCCATAAAGCAAAGCGAGAATATAATGAAATAACAAAATCAAAGAACCAAAAACACAAAATACTGGGTCAACGACCCAGGGACCCCAACATCTGCAGACTGTTCAAGTTTCTTTTAAGTGTTCTTTATTTTCTGGCGTCGCCTTTCAACAATTGTTTCACAAAACATAAGAACCCGTGAGTCAAAATCTCACCTGCTTTATATAAAATTCCACTCACACCTGGATCTCATTAACCTCTACCATTGGGAAAACAGGGTAGACTAAATAACACCGTCTAGATAAAGAAACAGGAATAAAATCATCTTTCCACCTAACAAACTCATTCACCCAGCTAAACAGTTTGAAAAGTCAATCTCTTTACCTAATCTGACTCATGGGGTTATTTTAAATGAAATAAACAATTATACACAAAAGAAACATCTCTTCATTTGGTTACACCCAATTGACATGATCAGTGACATCATATCCTATAAAATCAGGAAGTACTGGGGCGGCCCTTCCCACATACCTGTTTTACAAATAGGACCTGCTCAAAGGAACAGACAATGGTAAGTATAGCCAAACTACATAAACAAACGAAAGATCCAAATCAATTAATGATGAAGTGACATTTAGCTTTAAGTACATTTGCACAGATGAAATGAATATAACCAATGCTACCACAAACAGACCCGGGATAGTATGTAGAGCCAAGGTTACATGTGCTGTGTTTACATTAAAGCATTATGGATAGACTATAGGATAACAGAACACAAAATAACAATATATGCAAGTGACAAATGGCAAATGAATTCTGTCCTAGCCACTGTGTCACAACGAGGACCACATGATCAATTTTCCTCTCATTACCGCTTTGGATGCATCCCATGCAACACTTGGGGACACCTCTTGATTATCAGTAGTTTTTATACTCATTTCTTACGAATTGTATACACTTGGTATCATTTAACAAGCTCGTATTCAGCTTCCAGCTAGTCTGCTTTATTTCAGTCTCCAAATGTATAGACAAGTAAACACCTGCATGGTCTGATACATCTTTTACTCTTTTTTAAAAATATAACTATATTCAGTTTAAGTTTGACTAAAGTCGAGCTAAAAATCAATCATAGGTAAACCTTGGTGGTGAAAGCAAAAAAAAATCATCTGGTTTTAGTGTTTTTATTTCATTGTTTTCTTTTTTTAAAAGGATTCTCCATGCAGCCGTTGGAGATGGGAAAGATAGCTACATGCAGGTTTAAGATTTCTGTCTTATACCTTCCTTCCCTTCAATTCAGTTCAAATGATAAAATCTCAAATCGCACCAAACCATAAAAACCGTTATCGCAAGGCACTTTATATTAGAAATAAACCCCAACAATCAGACTGCCTCCTGTCAGCGAGCACTTGGCCACAGTGGGAAGGAAAACTCCCTTTTAACAGGAAGAAACCTCTAGCAGAACCAAGCTCAGGGAGGGGAGGCCATCTGCTGCATCTAGTTGGGGGTGGGAGGAGGGAGATGGGACAAAAACAAACATACTAGTTTAATATGTACATTGAAGGACATATCCTGGTTTCAACAAAATAAAAACAAAACAACACTCCAAGGTTTCTCAAAGTGTTATTGGTAACCAAGGCAATACCATCCAGTTTCTGGTTAGACACTATGTTTCTAATATTTTTAGTACAATCACCTCAGTTCTATCTGAATTTTGAAGCTTGGCTTGGCCTGCTTCACTTTAGGCAGCATATGCTTAGTAAATATGGATGAACAAATCAAATGTACCCATTTTCAGTATTGAGCTAGCCTAATAAATGAAGTACATACAGTATCTAACTGTGGTTTACCACAATAGTAACAGTGATTGGACTAAAATGAATTTGCTGTTGAGAGATAAACTGTACACATGAAGGCGCCTCAACCTCTGCTGATGTCTATCCCAGCACAGCATGTCTAATTGGGTATATAGGAGTCATTACCTAGAAGAGTTCTGACAGGTCTCAGTTTACCTTTGCTCGGTGTTCCAGATATTCCTCTCTGTAGCCATATTTCTTGGGAGTCCCACAGGTTTTTTTCTTGCTAGGTAATCCATCCAGTAGGTTCTGGATCTACCTTAAGGTGCTCTTCCAGTCAGACATGCTTGGTAATTTTCCAAAGTAAGGAAGAGGAGCCATTCTGATTGGATGCCCAATCATCCTCAGCCAGCTCCTACAGATATACCAATATTCTACTTCAAGCTAGGTCAGGGGTAGGCAACTCCAGGTCTCAGGTCCCCTGGGTTTATGCACCTGTTCATTACCAGGCCTCTGGTGAACTTCAAGCAATGTTGAGGAGGTAATTTAGCCATGTGAATCAGCCGTGTTGCATCAAGGACACATCTATAACCTGCTGGACAACGGCACTTGAGGCCTGGAGTTGCCCACCCCTGAGCTAGACTGACTGGCAGTTCACAACAAAGGTCTATTACAATACTCTGGTGCTGCATCACCAGCAGTAACTGCATCTGTATCTCATGCTCCAGTTTACCATTTCAGATGAACAAGATTCCAAGTCCTTAGCTTGGGAAAGCGACTCTCACCAAACCCAAAGGGCGGAACCCTTTCATGGGCTCAGACTAAGAGTGAGCACAATAAAGGTTGTGTTCTGATACAGGTAAATGAGCCACAAACAGCTGTGACAGGATTTTCAAATTTTCAAATGTAACACCCTCTTGACTCTGGCTGATGTCTGTGGAGTCCAACACCCACTGAAAAAGCGCTCAGCTTTATGCGACAAATGTAGACACAGCGCAAAGAACCAGATGTCCTTTGTGCTTTGTACCTCGCCCTCCAGCAATACCCCATAGAAGGTTCTCCAGGGTACAGGATTGTAAAACTTCGATGATTCCACAGGTCACGTGTGAACCAAATGGCCAAATTTTCTTTCAGTTGTGAGCAATGGAGCGAGCTGCACAGGATGAGACTTGTAATCCCCAGACATACTAAGATGCTGATGAGCAGCACCTCGTCAGTATAGCTTGCCAGGATGGATTTGTTTGAATTTGCTTCTTAGTACTTCTTAGTGCAGCTGAGAACTTTTACAGATATTCAATCATAGCACAAAGTTTGAATCGAGTGAATAAAGTCAGGTGCATAACACAGAGCCCTTTTCTCTCAGAGGATCAATGTAAAGTCCAGTGGAGATGTTGAGATGTCTCTACAAACTGTTTCTTTCTTTGGTGGGATGGAGAAAGAGCCCCTCTGCTGATCTTCAGGTAAGTTTGAACCCCAGCCATTCAAACCTGCTGATTCTAACCCTACCCAATGCAGCGCAGGTCACATTCAGGTCACATCATAATCTTCTCTCTTCTTCTGTCAGTGTTTTCTTGTTAGAGAATCGTTGGCAGAGATCTTCCTGAGCCAGGAGCAAATGACTCACTCAGCCCTGTAAAGTAATGAGATGCATAAAACATAAGTTTCTGTTATATTTCAGCAGCGAGAGCGTTTTATTTATAGACGGAGCCCATCTGGCAACTTGTCATAACATTCGCAAGAGTGAAACAAAGCTAATGTTCAAAGCATTTAGCCTCACTTACAAGTGCAGAGAGAGGGTGGGCCCAGGACCCCCGCCTCCCGTCCTCTCCATGAACCTCCTGCTGCTAGGAGCACAACCCATCCCAGTGCTGTTCACATTTCCTCCTGACTCACTCTCTTCAGATGACACACAGACACAAACAGGCATCTTGAGAGCTGGCAGACTGGTGCAGGGCAGTCACAGAGGAAATCATGCATACATCAGCTGCTGCTTGTTTCAAAGATGAGCCATGATGCATTCTCAGACTATGAACCTCTCCCAGGCTTTCAGTCTGACAGGAAATAGAGGAGAAGGAAATGCTTTCTAAGTTTTCCTCTTCTCCTCCTTTCCTTATCAGGAAGACGTGCCTAAATGTTACCTCCTGTCTGGAAACTGCTTTGATGAATACTAATGCTTTCAGCTACAACTACAGCAGTCTGTGGCCCATTTAAATACCCAGAACCTTTTGGAGACAGTTAACTCGGGCTGGATTGCTGAGACAGCAAAGCCCACAAAGGCCCACAGAAACCTCAAGTCCACTCGTCTGGCAATTTGCATCACTGAAGCAGTTTCAACTATGGTGGATTCTGCATTTAGATACCTCTCTTTGGGATGTCAGGATCTGTGGTTTGGTTGTCAAATGAGTACACAGCTAGCTAAAATTACAGCTAAGCAGAGAAAGACATCATTAATGTTACAGTTGATATGGTTAGTGGGTAAAACACATTGTTGCATTGTCTCATCCCAGTACAATATATTTGATGAAATATGCATTATTTACATTATCGAAGGCAAACGTATCTACAATCAGTATCTCCAAAGTGGGCAAATCACACCAAAGCAATCTGGATAGATAAAAAGCATCACAGACCAAAGGAAACATACAACTTGATTTTGGGGTGATAGAACTGTAACAACAGCTTATGATGTGACAGTTCATTTCAGCTGTGTTTATATTGCACAAATTCACAACAATAGTTGGCTTCAGGCGCTTGACACTCTGAGGTAAAATTCCTGCAGTATTATAATATAGTTCAGCTATTAGAATTATTTCTGAGACGCCATATTTTGTTATCATACTTAGAGAAACATATACATACACATTCAGTTCAATTCAATTCAATTTTATTTATACAGCACCAAATCACAACAACAGTCGCCTCAAAGTGCTTTATATTGTAAGGACCCTACAATAATACACACAGAGAAAAACTAACAATCACATCAGCCCCTATGAGCAAGCACTTTGGTGACAGTGGGAAGGAAAAACTCCCTTTTAACAGGAAGAAACCTCCAGGAGAACCAGGCTCAGGGAGGGGCGGGGCCATCTGCTGCGACCGGTTGGGGTGAGAGAAGGAAGACGGGACAAAAGACATGCTGTAGAAGAGAGACAGAGATTAATAACAAGTGTGATTCAGCAGAGAGCTCTACAGATGTTGAGTGAGAAAGGTGACTGAAGAAGAAATACTCAGTGCATCATGGGAATCCCCCAGCAGCTCACACCTATTGCAGCATAACTAAGGGAGGATACAGGGTCACCTGATCCAGCCCTAACTATATGCTTTATCAAAAAAGAAAGCCTAATCTTGAAAGTAGAGATAGTGTCTGTCTCCTGAATCCAAACTGGAAGCTGGTTCCACAGAAGAGGGGCCTGAAAACTGAAGGCTCTCCCTCCCATTCTACTAAATACTCAAGTAGGCCTGCAGTGCGAGAGCGAAGTGCTCTAATAGGGTGATATGGTACTACAAGGTCATTAAGATAAGATGGGGCCTGATTATTTAAGACCTTGTATGTGAGGAGCAAGATTTTGAATTCAATTCTGGATTTAACAAGAAGCCAATGAAGGGAAGCCAACACAGGAGAAATCTGCTCTCTCTTTCTAGTCCCTGTCAGGACTCTTACTGCAGCATTTTGAAATAACTGAAGGTTTTTCAGGGAGTTTTTAGGACATCCTGATAATAATTAATTACAGTCGTCCAGCCTGGAAGTAATAAATGCATGAACTAGTTTTTCTGCATCACTCTGAGACAGAATATTTCATATATATATTATAGTGCTGACTCTTGAAAGGTCATTCACACAGTCAATGAGCACAGGGTGGAATGCATGAGGTAAAATTCTAGTGACAAACTATTTTATAAGTATTTAAGTATATAAGTATAGGTGGGAGCAGAAATTGCACAACAAATGTTATAAACAGAAATAAAGAAAATGCAAATGCAACTGACAGATGAGTGAACACAAACATTCAGATCGTATGCAGTAATCGAGAACAAGAACAACTTCAAAAGTAAACACACTGATCAAGAGAACTATTTTCTCGATTCCTTAAAGTGAATAGAAAAAAGGAGGAAAACCCAAGGTGCAAAAAACATTGCACCTGAAAATTACACCATACATGACCCAAAACAAAAGCTCATACAGGAAGCAATAGAAATGAAACAGCCTGAAACAATAAAAAGTTTTAAAGAGCAAATTGGCCAAACTCCAGTTGGCCTGTGCTTGATACCAGCTGTGGGCTTTCCCACTCTGCATCAGTCACAAAGAGGCTGAGTGCTTTTGAGTTTATAAGAAGTTTAAATTCACATAAAGGAACTTTCAATTTAATCTCTCGTTATTTTAATCTCAATGGAATGCAAAGCTAAAAATCTGGATCTTACGACAGCAGCATATCCATTTACACATTTTATCACCTCTGCTTGTATCTAAGATCACAGTCGTTGCTCTGAGGACGGAGTCTGTGTCTCTAAAATTTAAATACCAGATTCCACAGAAATTTTTTAACACTCCTTGTGTTTCATAAATACAGAATCAAAAACTGAAATCAACCAGAAGAGCTCTCCTAGAGCACATTTTACACCATGGCTAACACAGTTTTAACTCTAAAGACTGAGTTATCACTACTAATGACCTCAAACCCAACCCTAACAATAACACACAGAAATCCATTTTGCCTTACAGCAGCATTAAGCCTTGTTACAGGTTAATCAGCTGTGGTTGGTTACACTTCGCAGAGTTAAAGACGATCACTCAGTGACACAAAGCTTTACCCTTGCTCCATTTCACCGACTTTCATGGAATTGAGCTGTTTGTGTTCTCTATGGTCTTGCTGACAGACAAGTGGACAAAAGAAAACGAGTGCGTACCTGCAAGAATAATTTAGCTTATATCTGACTATAAGCACAGCTTCAAGTCCAAAGAGTTCCAACAAATGTGACCCGAACTGCAACTTTGTACTGCACCCACATTCTGTCAATAACATTAAAACATTCGCTGACCTTTGCTGAGAAAAGATGGAAAGTGGTGAAAAATCATTGACTTTTTGACAGCTTGGACAGCTTTTTCTCTTCTGACCTGTGCTTCACCTCATGCTTCCCAGAGGCATCTTGACACTCGGGTCATGTTTGGCCACTAGCTCACACCTGAGGAACACAGATTGTCTTTGCACTAAAATGATTGGAGGACTCGTTCTGCCCCCCGCTTCTTAGTCCCTGTGGGAGAACAAACAGGTGTTTATACGAGGGGCCGTGGACTGCATAAGCAGCTGTTCATTAGTCTGGACAGCAGAGGTCACTGCAGCTCACGCACGCAACACGTTTCCATTTCCATGCAGATCTGATTCATAATGAAGGAGGCCGGCTGGTGCATGACATTTGCATCTGCCCACCATTTCTGGATGCTGACAGCAGAGAGAATACTCAGACCTCACGGATTTCTCTGTGTGAGGTGTGAATGTGGACAGTAACCGACTGAGCAGACCGGACGTTTTCCCACCTGTTGTCCTGCCTGGGGATTTTATCTCTGGGGAGCATCTACTGAAATCTTAGCAAGTGCACGCCCCTTCTATGGTTTTAACTTCTGATGAATTCAGGATGTACTTCAGAGTCTGTATTTTCAGTATAGGCAGGACTTGTTTCCTTCTACTTCTCTACATTTCAGTTTAATGTTTAAAACCAGCAGACAGAGTTAAATGATCCTAAAATCTGTAGAAGTAATGGAAACACCAAGTTGGGTGGTCTGTCACACTGACTGTCTAAACGAGAAAAGAATCGCTCTGAGAACACATCCTCCACCATGTCAGCTCACTCTCTGAGCAGTAGTTATTTTTAATGGAACAGTATTATATTTTTAATATATACATTTTGTGTTTTTCTAAAATTTACTTTAAGAAGTTTGCACTTCAGTAAAAATCAGATAAGAGTAGCATGGGAGAGGTCTACTCTGATCACACAAATATGTATGATTTGCAAATAACTGGATATGAATCATTTGACCTTTTTACATAACAGTCAAAATCCACAGAAAAAACTGTTTGGCAAGTTTGCAGCTCAACACAAAACTGCGTTTTTCTTACAAATGTCACAGTTTAATAAACAAATAAATAGGCTTTCCAGCCCAGTGGTATGACATTTATTGTTACAATAATCGATCAAACACTCATTTCCTTACTTTTTGTTTTTTGCTTATTGCAGATTTTATCATACGGTATTTTTTCTAACCATCTAAGAAGCTCATGCTTTTTCTCCTGACACACTTTCTTTTAAAAAATAAAACATATTTTGCGGTCAACTTGAAAGAAAGGCAGATGTGAAATAAGGTCAGAGGTCAAATGTGACATGATATTTGGACAAAAACTATCATTTGATATTTAGAATCCACGTATATAATTCCCTATAAGCCCCCTTATCCCGTCATCAATCATCAGTTAACCGCACTAACTGGACGTCTCTGGACAGAGAGAACCCACAGACACAGGGAGAACATACTAACTCCACACAGAGCATTTTGAGCCCATGACCTCTCGCTGTGAGGCAACAGTGCTAACCACTGCACCACCACGCTGCTGTATATGCATGTTTGATGTCAATACAAAAACAGCTGTAAGAAAAATTATTTTAAATAGCTCTATTAAACATTATTATCACCTTGACCTTGAGATCAATCTGTTGACCTTGAAGGAGAGGTCAGAGTTCAAATGTGACATCACCATGACGGACCGTGACAGCATCCACATCACTGCAGCTGCAGCACCAATCTGTCTGTCGATCTCCTGCTCCCTTCTCTCCTCACTCTTGCACAAGAGCCAGAAATCCTTAAACTTCTCCGCTCTTTCTGGCTGAGGACCATGGTGACGTGATATTTTAAATCTCTGTATGGTACTTCCTATTTGCTGACAATACAAACAAC